TTCAAATCTTGGAAACCAAGTCCAGTGGATATTTTTTGAATTGTTACGGAATCACTATGTTGGAAAATACAACTCAGTAGTTTTTATTTAAGTCATTTGAAATGTAAAAAGACATGACAGCAGTACATCCTTTAAGTTCAGGAGCTTTTTTGTTGTCAAAGAGGAATAGATCAGTGTCAACATTTTAACAAACAAAAAAAAAAATATGCATCATATTAGGATGCATATAGGATGCAAATAAATATTGATCAACAACAATGAGATGTAAAAAAATTCTACTTTGTTGGCTCTGGAAAACAAAGCAATGACTCAGGCATTTTTGCACATTGTTCTACCTATAGATAAGTAAACAACTCTAATGTTCTGATTCCGGTGTAGAAGAGGTTTAGGTTAATCTCTGTGGAACTGAATAGCATCAGGAGGAAGTAGCTGATGCTGCGGACGATCACCTGGCCTTCATTAGGAAACCATCTCTGCTCTTCTAAAGCTTCTGTGACATGAAACAAGTTCTAGTTTAATGCAGCCGTCTCTGTCAGTCACTGTATTGAGGCATTTGGTCATGGAGCTGTGAGGATTACCAAACAGAAGGTCTGTTTGGAATGTAAACAGTAATTATCTGAAGAAAAAAAGTTCACTGTTTTCATCTAAAGCCGTTTTTGAAGACGGGTTATGCTGCTGAGCCCTTTGGTGAAGGCTGGTAGCAGTTTGAGGGTTTCACAGGTAGAACATTAGTTAACTTCATGGGTTTTTTTAACCTGCAAATTAACTGACAACAGGGTAACCGTTTGGTCTCAATGTGATACCTAATCACGACTGTGCTGGCACAAATGGAATGACTCAATCTATCTCACTGCATGATGTGCTTAAAAAGGAAGTGGCTCTGCAAGTTTCCAAATGCACTTCAGCAGACAGACTTCTCAGAGTTGTTTGTGTTTGTCTTGTGTTTCTAATTACCCAGTATAAATAAGGTCTAGAACGAATGTAGAGTCCTGTGTGACATTTGGCTAAAGAAAACGTTCTGCAGCCTGGCCTGGAAGGTGGGAGGCTTCAACAAGCTGCAGTGTCTCCATATAAACACGCATAAATCTGCCTGCACAGCGGCTCCTTCATAAGGCAGCAAATACCAAATGCCTTGCTTTTTATTAAGCATTACTCTTTAATGTGTTTGGTCCTGTTGGAACATTTGATTGAAACAGAATAAAACATAAAGGTGCAATGTACAAGTAAAAAAAAAAAGTTGAATATTTTTTTCCCCCATACATGTATATATTAAGATAACGGCCTATAAAATTGGTGTCTGAATTTTTAAAAGTAAAAAAGCATACCATGATTGAATAGAAGATCTGTATTTGTGGCTTGTTTTCAACTCTTACATGCATGCAAGATTAAACGCTTCATATGTGACAATACATATTACAGTTTAGCAACAATACAAGTACCAATCGCAATGTATGAGTAGATTTGTGATTCGTGCTTGAATTGTTGCCAAGCTGTGACTTCTAAATTTGAATTCTCACAGATGAAACCGTTGATGTGACTCGTAGGTATGTATTAAATTGATTGACATATTCTTTTACAGTTATCTCGCACTATATGTATGCCCTTACAATCACTGTAATAATACCGTAAATCCTCTAATATAGGACGGGGCCTTTATTTCACTCAGCTACATCTTGGTCCAGGCCATTATTGGAAGGAGGCCAGAATTAGAGTCAGGCCTCTATTTCAATTTGATCAAAACAGACTACCAGTGGAAGGAATATAAACAAGATTTGAACCTATAAAATACTAGGTTCATTTATTGAAAAAGTACAGTTACCATAATGATATACAGATCATTATTCAGACATCTTCCTGCAGCTGCAATTTTTCTGCACGGTAATACGTTAAAAAGAAGACACAGAATGGAATCTTGGTCTAACTGACTTGCAAAACAAAGTTTTAAAAAAATGAATGGAAACTGTTCTGCAGTCACAGCAAAATTGTATTTGAGGCAGGCTAAGTGGAAGTAGGCTACCAGTATCATATATTTGAAGGGAAATTCAGAACAACAAAGGCCAACGAAATTCTGTAATTTTAACACTGCCCGGTTCCCACCAGACCTACCGGTAATCACATTTGTCTTTCAGATCAGAACGCTTGTGTAAGGCCACTACGATCTCTGTGTAATGATGGGACTTCCCATGCTAATGGCTTTGATTCGTTAACAAACATTGCCCCCCTGTGGTACTTGTATGTTACCATCACAAGTTGTTCAGGACTGCCCAGGAACATTGTTGGTTCTAATTATAGCCCCGGCCTGTATACGAGTCTGGCCATTGTTAAGAGTTCTGGCCCCCAATGGAATACAGGCCAATATTAGAAAATTTACGGTAAGTTGAGATGCACATATTTAGTTTTTTCCAATCTCATGCCGATTCCTGGGCTGAGAGGATACCGATCCGATTCAACTTTTGAATGAATGAACTGTATATCTTGCCATGAGCGCATCTCCATTAAATCTGTAGCTTATGTTATACGCCTTTAAGGATTCAACATTAATATGTTGTAAAAATATAACATAATAAACTAAGGTTGGTAAAACAAAAATGCAGATTGAGGCCTGCTT